TGTTTGCCTTGCGCTCAAGGACCTGAGGTTGCTCTCCAGCACCAGACAAAGGGAAGGTTCCAGCAGACACGCTGGCCGGATGACGTGCTGCTCATTCCAGGGCTTCCGGGTGGTCTAGGCTGCTGTGAGCGGAGTTGTCTCCCTGCTTTTCTTTTCAGTGTGTCTAACCCTGGGTGCAAGGAGGCTACGGTTTTCGTATGTTGACTTCAGACCCTGTAACTTGTTATGAGGCCTCTGGGTTTCCTGCTAGAATTTCTAGGTATAAAATTGTGTCATCTGCAAACAGACACTCTGGCTTCCTTCTTGCCTGTTTCTCTCCCCTCCATTTGTTTCTCTTGCCTTGTTGTTCTGGCCAAGATTTCCAGTACTGAGTGGGAGTGGAGACCATTGGACGCCATTGTCTTGCACCTGATTTAGAGGCAGAGTAAGATTTTTCTTGTTAGGGCCGTCGTGGACAGGCTTTACTATGCTGAAGTGTGTTCCTATTTCATGTTTCTTCAGGACTTTCACATAAAGGGATCATTGGATTTTGGCAAAACTGTTTCCGTGCCTATCTAGATGTGCATATGATCTGTACCTGAATTCTTTTGTGAAATATATAACATTTAATGGGTTTACATATATCGAACCAAACACTGCCAGACCAACAAAACAGCAAGAATCAACACATAACTTTAAGTAGCTCTGAAATCTAATGGCTTCAATTTTCCAATAAAAAAATATAGACTGTTAGTTTGGATTAAAAGGAGCAACCATCTGTTTTCTGTCTCCAAGAAACATGTCTCACTACAAAAGAGAGATAATGGTGATAGGGTAGAAAAAGGTATTCCAACCAAGTGGACCTAAGAAACAGGGCCAGGCTGGCCTCATCCTGGCTATGTAGCTAACGAAGACCTTGAACTCCTAATCCTTTAAGTGCTGCGATTACAGGTGTATTCCACCACACCCAGCTATGAAAGTGATAGCCTTTAAATTACATACAGCTAGGTAGAGTAGAATTTGTCTTCTTCCAAAACTACAAGACCACATGTTGCTTCTCTAGCAAACAAGCAACACAAGCGTAGAGAACAACTAAACAGCTAGGAATCGAGTGTGAAGCCTCTGGGAAGGCGCACTAATGGAGGTGAGAACTCTCCTTCCTCCCACTGGTAATTTGGACAGATACATACAGTGCTTACACGACCACGATGCTGTAAATGAGGACCAGTGTGGTGCACAGTGATTCCTTCCCATCCTGGACATCCCCTGCTCCCCTTTTTTGTTGGATCTCCTGGATATAAGCTTTTCCTTACCTTTAACTTGAAATTAAACAGAGGGGGAAGATACAGAGAAATTTTAACTCAGAACATGGCTGTTCTGGCAAGAGATCACATCCAAAGACCTTTTAGGTCTGTGTGGAATACAAACACACCTTTAATCCAGGAGACAGATCTGAGTTCAAGGCCAGCATGGTAGAAAGCAAGTTTCAGGTAAAGAAAAGCTTATGTCTAGGTGTGGTGGTCCATGCCCTTAATCCCAAACAATGAAGATTAAATTAGTTTGTAGAGGAAGCACCCATGTTTGAAATTGAGTGGCAGAAACAGTGACGAATCAGAGAAAGACTTGACAGATTTGCCCAACTCTCACGAGAAGAGAGAGGAAAGGGAAGCTACTTAAGGGGCAGTGCAGAGAGGAGGAGGCAGTTTTACTAGGACAGTCATAGACAAGTTGCTGAGAACTCAAGTGAGGACGGAATGAGCCAGGGAAGCCAGGAGGTTAGAGCAGATGGCTTGAGTTGGTTGGAGGCCAAGCAGAGCAATTTAGGGGCTGAGAGAAAAGCCAGATTGAATAAATAAGCTGGGAGAATTTGAACCAGAACAGCTGAGATGAACCAGCCAGCTGAGCTCAGTAAGAAAAAAAAAAGGGTGAGCTTATTCAGCCGTAAGTCTCAGAGAGTGAAAACGTTCTAGACCTAGGTACAGAGGCCAGAGGCTTGCAGACTAGGCATAGGTTAGCAGACAGAGGCAGCAAGCCTCCCAGACAACAGTTTAAGCAGGCAAATAGAAGTTCCTTTTACAGAAGGACATTCAGTTTGAAGGTTTTTAAGACATCTGAAGAAGGGCTTTTTCCTTCTGGGAGTCAGCTGAGTAGGAAGGTCAGCTGGGTGCTTTCTCTGCCTCTCTGAGGTAGAAGGCTTTCACCCCAGCATCTGGCTCTTGAGTCTTGATTGGTAAAATCGAATGTTTGGGATTTTATTTAAAAACAACACATCGATTGGGGGGATCTGGCCCATCAAAGTGGGGAAGGACAGTGGGAGTGTGCGATGGGCGCTCCTTGCCACTTCTTAGCAGACCAGGAAGCAGAGCCAGCACAGGACAGCAGGCCTGAGCTATAAACCTCAGGACCCACACTAGCACGGTGGTTCTCATCCTTCCTAACGCTGGCCCCTTTGTACAGTCCCTCACGTCGTGGTGACCCCCCCAGCCATAAAATTATTTTTGTTGCTACTTTATAACTGCAATTCTGCTACTGTTATGAATCGTAATGTAAATGCATTTCCTGATGGTCTTGGGTGAGCCCTGCCCTAGCTCGTCCCCACCTCCCAAAGGTTCCGAGGCTTTCTCCAGACAGCACCACCTGCCGAGGACATGCCTGTTGGGGGCATTTTACCGCCAAACCATAACAGCCGTGTGTGGTGGCACACGCCTGAAGGACACTCAAGCGCCTGAAACGGAGGGATCATGAAGTTTAGGCAGCCCTGAGCTACATAGTGTAGGCCTGCCATGCCCGCCCCCACCGTTAGCTTTAATGTGTTTGCTTTTTTAAACTGGTCTCATGAGTCTTGCTCTTAAAAATGTTACCAAATCAGTGAGACCCTGATTGTAAACATTTGTAATTACTGCAGAAAGTCAGGGCTAGGCAGAAAAAGAAAGCTTTCTGGAAAATACTCCCGTGTGTGTGTGTGTGTGTGTGTGTGTGTGTGTGTGTGTGTGTGGTGTGTGTGTGTGTGTGTGTGTGTGTGTGTACATGCGTGCACACCGTATCAATGTACCGAGTACATTTTTGCACTGTAACTCAAGTAATTCATAAGCTATGACTAGTACAATTTGGTGACTTGTGGAGAGTGTCGTAACTGATCCCTGCTTGCCAGAGATTAGAGCTAAGATGTTGAAGGGTGCTGGGGTTTGCAGATCTTCAAAATTCTGTTTTCAGGGTCTCTCAAATTGCCGAGCTAGACTTTCAGAGCTACAACCACAGGGCCGCAGAGATGGCTCAGCAGTTACCGGTGCTCTCTGCTCTTCCAATGGACCCGAGTTCAGTTTCCAGCACCCATGTGAGGTGGCCCACAACTGCCTGTAACTCCAGTTCCAGAGGACCCAGTCAATGCCTTCCTCTGCCCCTGTAGGCACCAACACACATGTGACATATAGACACACACATGCACACAGAGACACAGAAATAAATCTTAGAGATGGGGGAGGGGGAACCTACTTCCACAAAGTATGATTCTTTCGAACCTAAATACTGTAATATTATGCGAGTTGAGGCTATGGCCACATCCCAAAGTGTGCTTGTTATGAAACAGTTTCAGTTATTTTGTACATGTGTGTATGTGTCCCTGTGTGTGCACACGTGTCCGTGGGGTTGTGTCTGTGTGTGAAGGCCCAGGGATGACTTCAGGTGTCATTCCTCAGAGGCTGCTTCGCCTGTTTTTTGAGATAGGGTCATTACTCCTCAAGTTTTCGAGATCCAGCTAGTCTTGCTGGATTGAGCTAGACTGGCTGGCCAGCGAGCCCCCAGGAGCGACCTGTGTCCGCCTCCTCCAGCCTGGCGTTGAAGAAGTGCCCCACACTTTAGATGTGGGTGCTAGGAATCCGATCTCAAGCCTTCATGCTGGCACGCCACATTCTTTACTGACTCATCTGTCTTCCCAGCACCCATTTTTGTAAACTTTCATTCATTCATCCAAGACTTTTACTGACTTAATTTTGTTTTCCCTACTTGAAGGTTTCTTGTTCTCCTCAAGGTCTGAAGGTTTGGGTTCAAGACACTTCATATCTATGTAGCCGGGCTGGGCAGGTCCTTCCTGTCCGCATTCAGATGAATGGCTGGATTCACAATGGAAACCTGCTGTGCCCTTCCTGCTGGGACTTCTGCGAGCAGTGTCCACCAGAGACCGACCCTCCAGCGGCCAACCTGAGCCGAGCCCTTCCTCTGGGTGAGTACTCTATAGGATTGGAGAGATGAGGGAAAGCAAAGTGAGCTGTGCCTTACAAGGTATTGAAAGGCGGCCTCTGGAGCAGGCCAAGCCCCTCCTCCCCCCAGGCAGACTCTCTGTGTAGCCCTGGCTGTCCTGAAACTCACTCTGTAGACCAGGCTGGCCTGAACTCAACAGACATCCGCCTGCTGGGACTAATGGTGTGTGTTACCACCACCACCTGTTTTTTTTCCCCTATGATTCAAGGTTCTCTAGAAAAATCCTGTTTCCTGTTGTTGTTAGAAACCCGAAGCTGGGAAGCAGCACCTCTGCACCACAGCCAGGCTGAGGAAGGGCTCTGTGTGGAGGGCCTGGTAACCCTCTCACTAAGAGTGAACAACATTCTGCTTATCAAATACAAAAGGAAACTAAATATATCTTAGTATAATCAGGTGAGATTCTCAAAAACAGGTCAGGAAGGCAGGTCAATGGGTAAAATACTTGCTTTGAAAGCACGAGGGCCTGGGTTTGAATCCCAAGGACCTACATATAAAGTGAGGCATGGTGGTGCTTGCCTGTGGTCCCAGCTCTTTGCATCAGGGTCAGGAAGATCCGGGGGGGCCCCTGCTCACCAGCCTAGCCAGTCAGTGAGCTACAGGTCTCAGAAGCATGCCGCAGAGGACAGAAGGAGAGGAAACTCAGCCCCTGGCTTCCGTGTACACCCCTATGAGTGCACACATGAACTTGTCTCTGCACTCACAGCTCACAAAAGCCGTGATTGGTGCCTACAAAGAGGAGACACAAACGCACATACAAAACGAGAAAGACAGTGGCTTGTAAGGATGAGGTGGCTCTAGGCGAAGAGGACTCGGTGGCAGAGCTCTGAGCGTTCTGACTGCCCTCACCTGAAGTATCTGGAAACAGAATTGTTTTGGGACTTGGGGGTTTTATGATTTTGGAATATTTGCATATACTACTGAGCTGTCTTTGGGATGAGACCTAAATCTAAAACCACAAAATGTACTGACATTTATATATGCTGTATACACATGCCCTGATGCGAATTTGGTACAGTATTTTGGGTGTGCCTGTGTTTTGATCAGGTCAAGTGGGGTCATGGCTGACCCCAGAACACTTTGGATTTTGGAGTATTTTGGATTTTAGGTCGTCGGGTTAAGGGTGCTCATCTCTCGTATTCATTCCATGAGACTGAGACAACCGATGTTAAGACAATACATTCCAGTACTTCCTCTAGAGCCAAGAGGAGGTTGGAAAGGGCTGGATTCAGAAGGCTCTTCTCCCCGAGGGCGTTCACACTGAGCACTAATTCAGAATTCATGACTCCTTAATTTAAAGTGGCTTTATAGTCTGAGTGATCTGATAGCAATTTAACATTTTAAAATATTAGCAATAAAAATATTATGCCATTTTTTCCCAACTGTCAATATTTTTAATGACAGTTAAATGCAGGTACTTTGTCTATTTAATTTTTTATTTCATTTTAATTTTATTTTATTTTCATTTCACTGAGTTTTTCTGTGTAGCCCTGGCTGGCCTGGAACTCAGAGATCATCTGCCTCTGCCTCACAAGTGCTGGGATTAAAGGCACGCACCACTATCTCTGGGCTGCCCCCAATCCCCTCATGCTTTAGAGTCTTTTTTTTTTTTTTTATGCGCATTGGTGGTTTTGTCTGTGTGAGGGTGTTGGGTCCGCAGGAACTGGAGTTAGAGACAGTTGTGAGCTGCCCTGTATGTTCTGGGAATTGAACCCAGGTCCTCTGGAAGAGCAGCCAGTGCTCCTAACCACTGGGCCATCCCTCCAGCCCACCATGGTCTGTTTAAAAGTAGAGGGCCTGGTTCAGTTTACAGGTAAATTTTCTGTTAAGTGTTAAACTGTGGGGGATAGGTATCGTGGCAGTCGGGAGCCAGGGAATACCACTGAGTCACACCACACAGCAAACCTCACACAGGAGATACACTGGGGAGGAAAAACCCAAGAGAATGGCTGCCTGTGCATGGGCGAGAAGCAGCAGAGAACTGAGTGAAAGACAGGGCCCACCCAGGGTCTCCCTGTGTCACCCTAGAACTTTCTGTGTAGACCAGGTTGTCCTCAAATTCATGACGATCCCCTTGCCTCTGGAGTGCTTGAATTACAGGCATTCTCACCGTGTCCTGTTAATGGGGCACAGGCGTGCTCCACCACTGAGCAGTAGCTCTAGGTGCTCTCCACCCCACTCTCTAAAGGTGGTCCTGGCTGACCTTCTCGTAATCCTCTGCTCACCTGTCTAACCCCGAACACCGGCCTGTTCTGTTTTCTATCTCAGATCTCTGCTCCTGTTCGTCTAGCCTGGTGGTCACGCTTTGGCTCCTCCTGGGCAATCTGTTTCCCCTGCTGGCTGGATTTCTTCTGTGTGCCTGGCACTAGGAATGGGAAAGTGAGTCCACAAAAATGACAGTTGTGTCATGTTCTCATGAACAAAGCACAAAACAGAACCCGGGAGAGTGGCATTCCCGACTCCGGCTTGGCAGTGCAGGACGGCTGTGAAGCCTGGCTCCATGGCGGTCACTCCTCAGCGGCCACACAGCCACCTCGGCGCGTGGAGACGAAGAACAAGTGCCCGAGGCGCCTTAGTTTCTCCTGGCAGTTCTCCTTTGAACGAAGGGCCGGTGGCAGGATTCGCCACGGTCACATACCTCAGCATTTGCATTAACGGAAAGCCCCGGGAGCACCAAGGCCGCTCAGAGAAAAGCTGATGGACCACTCCAGAGTGTAAGTTGAGGACCCCTTCCTCCCAAGTACAGAAACAGTCCTTGGGATTCTGGATCTCCCGTCAGTGTTGCACACATTTTCAATGAACGCCTGGACACGACCCACTCAGACCATCATGCTCCCTGGCAGGTCCTCGTTGCTGCAGCATCTGACCTGACGGTGTTTGCCTTTCCCACCAGCCATGTGGCCGGTCGCTGAACTGTTATCACTGTTGTTAGCCCTCAGTGCCCAGCCGTCTCCACCTGAGCTCAGTGCCCACCTGCATTCCTCATTCGTTTCATAGCGACTTGGAAAAGCGTAGGAGAGTGTGAAGTACAGCTCACAGGAAGAGCCTGAACTCGTGCAAACAGAAGGCCCCGTGACTTTGTGCTTCAGGTAAGATTCAGAACAGCTATAATCCACCAAAACTCAACTGACCCTTTCTGGCTTGTGTAAATTTTCAAGTTCAGGCGTGGACAAGCATGCAGTTACTTCCAGGCAGACTGAGCTGTTACAGAAGAACTGCTAATATTGGAAAGTCGTTTCACGGACAAGAAGAAAAACTCAAGTTAAGACAAGGTGATCTGAATTGCTTCCTAACAGTGAAGTGTAGGCTTGGTGTCAAGCCTGCCCACAGGCCCGTCCTTGACTCTTTTACAGAAGTTGGAAGAGCACCTCTGTTTAAATGCCCGTTTCTTCCCACGTTTGACAGCCGTGTACCGCGTGGATTCTCTGAGGCAGTTCTCCCGTACCAGTGCTCACCAACCTAACAGGAACGCAACTTTGAAATTCTCTAATGAGGAGCAACATCCCGTTTTTCTCCCTAAAGATAGTCAGTTACTGCAGTGTTACAAACACAGGCTTTTAGGACCAGCGAGATGGCTCAGTGGGTCAAGGCACTTGCCACCAAGCCTAATGTCCTAAGTCTGATTCCTGCAGACCTCATGGAAGAAGAAAGGGGCTAACAGCCCCTGAAAGTTGTCCACACACACACGCGCACGCGCGCAAATAAATGTAAAACAACTTTTAAAACCAAACACAGCATTCAGACACACTCCTCTTCCTCCCTTTGTGCCATTCAGCATATAGTTATTAAGTGCTCTGTTTAGGAAATTGTACCAGTAAAGCAGAGCATGGTGGCCTGTAGGCCCAGCACTTGCGAAGTAGAGGCAGGAGGACGGCTAGGCCACCTTGGGAATTTAAATTTGAAGGCAGTATTGGCCACCTGAAACCCTGTCTTGGGAGTAGAGAATGGAAGGAGTTGTGTCAGGAGCAAAACACCGCAGCCCCAAGCGCTAACGGCAGCTAACCGAGGCTCTGCAGCAGCGTGGGCCTCGGGGTGCAGGGACCCCGCCTTTGTTTTAAAGGCAAGATTTGACATGTCCCTGCATGCTGTATAAGTTGGAGGCATTCACGCTTGTGCAAAGCTGAGGCTCCTTAACTCAGCTAGCCTCAGCTAAAGAGAGGTCATGGTCTGCTGATCTGCACTCTGTGCTTTGCCAGCGTCCCGAGATCTTCAAGGTGTACAAGGTCTGAGAAAAGGGAGTGTGTTTTTAAAGACATAGACGACATTCTGGGCTGGTGGCACGTGCCGTTAGTCTTAGCGCTAGGGAGACAGACGCTAGTGGATATCTCAGTATAATAAGGCCAGCCTGATCTACAAAGCAGGTTCCAGACCAGCCAGGGTTACATAGTGAGATAAACAAAAGAAGAAGAAAGAAATACACATTAAACCTTCATGACGACTATGAGTCATCCTCCAAAACGTGTAATTTCACCAAAAAAACCAGTGGATTATATTGAGCGTCAGTGATCAGTTTGACGACATTTTGACTGTTGTACAGTAATGCCATTTAGGTAGTATCGTTTCCAAGCATGGTGCTTTTTATACTTGAAATATATCTTTGCTTTATTTTTTAATTAATATAATTATATTTGCACTAATGACTTTCCGGAGAAAAAGTTACAGATGATGTTTTTTTGTATATATATTTATTAAGCTTGGAATGTGACGTCCCAGTGTTTTCTCTGCACAAACATGAAACTTAGCGCAGCTGGGGGTGCAGAAACCCGGAACTCCTGAGAGTTAGACTGCAGTTAGCTACACTGCCCTGTCCCTCCCTCTTCAGTGAGGTCGCTTCTCTCTGATCCCACATAGTGTACTCAGCAAGACTTAGAGGGTCCCTCAGCTGGTAAGACTCTCACTTAGAATTTAGCAACAAAGAAACGGCTTCTGCAGGCTGAGATCCCCACGCAGAATTAGCTGTAGAATTTGAAGCAGCCTTCACGCTCGTGTTCTGTGGCAGCTCAGCCCTTTCGCATCTCGAGGACAAAACCAGTGGCCCACAGAAGGAACCAAGCAGGGTGCTCCGTGTGGAAGTGAAATGGGGACAGCTGATCTGGGGACAGTAGACTGGAGTCCCTTCCTGAATCAGAAAGGTCAAGTGTTTATTTAAAAAACTGGCTACCTCAGTGTTGAATTCAAACAGGTCATTGTGTGTGTTTTAAGGCCCTAGGTGTCGGTCATACCAAGGGACCTGTCTCAGGTTTTCTCAGAATTTACAGGAAGGAAGCAAAGCCATGTGAGGAGCCATGAATAGGGGCAGGAAGGGAGCTGGACAGTGCTTAGTAATCTGTGTGTCACTCCTCCAACTTTCTCCTGCAGAACATCCTTCCATAATCCTTCCATCTTTCCTATAGGCTTCTTATATTTTTAAGACCAAATGGGCATTCTAAAAATGTTATGAATTATGCTTAGCATTAGTTTTCAGCCTAAGTTGGCTTAGAGTTTAATGAGGTTTAAAGATATAACATAATTGTATGGGTTGTAAATAGTCTTAGGAAGATAAGTATATCAGAGTATTTCGTGAAATGTTATCAGCGTTCTCTGCAACATTAGACTTACAGATTGAGCCAGGCATGGCGACTGTGCCTGTAATCCCAGCACTCGGGAGACAGCGGCAGGAGGATTTTGATTTTAAGACTAGCTGGGCTGCAGAGAGAGACACTGTCTTAATCCTGCTTACCCACCCCCCACCCCCCAACACACAAAAAAAGAAAATTTACCGATTGTGGCCATGTATAAAGCAGTGATGCTTGGTCATACTCGAAAGCCCCATGACTGACACTTGGTGAGGACTTGGTCCCTGCTGGCCCCGTTCAACCTCTTGGAGTCTCCAGCCTTCATGCTGTGTTCCATGCCCGGCCCGGCTATGGACTTATGAAGAGAGGAGAGCCAGTCTCCTAAGACAGCTGAGTGGCCCCTGCAGATATCTCCAAAGACTCACAGCCAGCTTCATGGTGGGCACGGTTCTCCCCGCTGTGACCTTTGCCCCCAGCACAGGAGGACTGACATCTTTGGCTGAAGCCAGTGCTGCCCATTCTGAACAAAGGGTTGAACTGGAAAGAAGGGTTTGTGTTCTTTTGGGTTGTTTTGTTTGTTTGTTTGTTTGTTTTTCGTTTTGGTTTTTTTTTTTTTTCTTTTTTAAATTAGACTGGGACTGGGGAAGGATTTCTTTTATGTTTACATTTTTAATAAGTAAAGTAGATTTTAAAATTAGTCTTTATTTATGGTGGTGAACCTGAAGTGTAATATATTCCTCAGAAAAACACAACTTTAATAAAAATGAAAACTAACTTGCAGCTTGTCTTGACCTAAAACCGTGAACTTTTTAAAGCCTGGATAAGCACACAAACAGTCATGAACTCTGTTGGGGAAGGATGGGGATTCACCTTGTGAAACACAATTCCGTTTTCCTCGTGTGGGAGTGAGGTCGTCCTCCATCCAGGATGGGCAGGTCCTGTGTGAAGCTGCAGGGCACTGCCCTTGAAGAGCCGAGCTGAGAGAAAGCAGATCCCAAGGACAGTGTGGTCTATGCCTCGGCCTAGGAACTTCTCTTCATGACCGTCCTGCACATTCAGGTAGCACATAGTGCAAACACCATAGCTTAGACATGGCGAGTGACTTCCTGATAGCCCACAGGTGAGTATGAGCAAGCATCCTTCTCCACAGGGGCCTGGACCTTCCTTTCCAAGATGCACTTGGAGCCAAGCACTTGTGTGACTGATCAGATTAGAGTTTTTGAACAGAGCTCTGTGCTGGGGGTTGGTATGGTGCTAAGTGTTCAAATGCTGACTTCAGTGCCTTGACATCTGCTTACTGTCCTGCCATGGGCCTTGTTATTAATGTTGAGCTGTCCCCTGTACCCAAGAGATGAGAAGGGATGTTCCCCAATTAGACCTGAAGGCCTACACTTTGACAAGGCATGGAAGGTGGCAGGCGTGGCTACGGTTCGTGGGCTTTGGGGACAGAAGGAGACAAGTCAGGAGGAGGAAGGAAGAAAAAGCCTTCATGGGTTAGGGTGGAAGGAAGCACATGGCCAGGTCAGCATGGATGGATGGGATTATGGATGGGAGGAAGCCCGAATAGGAAGGATTAAAGCAGATGGCCTGGGATGGGGACTTAAGAGTGATAAGGAGGGATAATATCTGCCGTGCCCCGGGTGAAATAAGGCTGGTCTAAAATCTATTGGGTGTCTGTGTCTTCTGTTGGTTGGGATAGCGGGTTAGATAGTACTGCCGTAATAACTATAAAGCTAATAATAAACATCATTCACCGATACCCTTTATTTTCTGCTACAGAGCCATATGGGAATTCCCTGCTAATAATAAAATTTAGGTTCTTTTTAAAGCACCTATGGGTACAAAGAATAAATTCAAGTACTTAAATAAATCTAGTAATATTTGCTCAGCATCCTGACAAAAAAGTTCATAGAGTGTTTTGTCTACATCTCCTTTTGGTGTGGTCATAGTATAGCTCATTTGGGGAACCCTGTTACAAATTTTACTTTTTTTCTTTTTTCACAGCCTTTCTCGTGGATTTTGCTTTGTTTGGACAGCTGGCCTTGAACTCCTGATCCTCCCACCCCCACCTCTTCAATATTGGGGTTATAGACCTGCTCT